TTTTTTTGTTGTTATTTTGGTTTTGTGAAGGCTGTGTGTTGGAATAATAGGAAGCAGCTGTGCTTTGTCAGATGCACAAAACTCGTCTCTTTTTGTCAAAATTCTTGTCATAGAGATATTTGGCAGTGCGCTGGGGTTGTTTGGAGTCATTGTGGGGATTATCATGTCTGCTCAAGCAACTTGGCCAACAAAATAGTCGAGGTGTTAATGACTCGATCCGTGTGTTTTGTAATCCTTTATATTTGTCATCCTTCATGTATTCTGGTTACGTATTCTTTATATTTTCGTTGCTGTTTTTGCAACCTAGAAAGTGATGAAACTCAGGTCGAGAAACTAGACGAACCACGACTCTAGCCGTATTTTGAGGTTCTGTATGTAAGTTGCTTCGGATCAATAAAGTTTGTCCATTTCAGTCTATGTTTATTTGTTTTTGCTTGTTCGGTTAATTGTTAGTCAAACTTCATGTTTGTTCCTCTTTGAATAATTGAATAAACATTTTTTTTTATTATTTTAAATTTGTTTGTTTAACTCGAAATCTGTTTCTTCAAACTCATTTGAGCAAAGACAATAAAAGAAAAAAAAAATGTTTCTTTCTATATATTAGACTTTTTTACTAAAACTATCATCATACATATAAATGTGAAATAAAATAAAATAATATTAAAAACACGAATATTTTTGTGTAGGAGCTGTGTTCGTTCGACTATTAAAGGAGCTTAACTTTCTATTTGAATTCGACTTGATCAATATACGAATGAGCTCTTTATGAATACGAACGAGCTATTGTTTCGAAGACAACCCTACTCCTAAAGAGATTAATCAATACTCCAAGGCGGGGTTTGTTTGTCATATGGGATAGGATAAAGCCCTTAATCTTGTCTTAACCTGTCATTTGGATACCATGATTGAGGCCTACAGGTGATTGGTCGGGAAAAAAGGTGTGTTTTATATATTTATTAACGTATTTTTATATGTTCAATTTTGTCGAACTTATATATTTTTCCATTTATTTATTTACTTAAATGGATTCTTGTACTTTTTTATATTTTTTTTAAGATATTAGAGTATTTCGTAACCGACGTCGCATTAAACGAAATTTTAGTCGGTTCAGTATGAGGTTGCCCCCTACCAACCCAATATGGACCCATGGAATATGGCCCATATGTTGCTTTGCTGATTTGGTGGAATAGAAGATGGGTCCCATCTTAGAGCATTTCTAATAGTTTATGGATTGCTCTTTTTTATTGTCATGTGGCATAATAAATCCTATGTGACATTTAAAATGTCTAGAAATCCTTATAGACATTCTCTATTATAACTTATATTATTTATTAAATATATATTTCATCCTCAACCAATTATTATAGTCAAATTATACTAAAACATGCATTAACCATTCAAGAAAAATTTTTGTAGTTTTCTTTCTCTATGTTATAAATCTCAAATGGATAATACACCATTGGAGTCATCCACAGTTATTCACAAATAGCATATTGACATGTGTCCTACAATAAATGCACTTTAAACAAGTGTCAATACATTAAGTGATGAATAACTCCATAAGAAAACCATCCGATGGCTCCATAAATTTTTTTATCAATGTTGCATAATTTTATTTGTATAATACAATCCACCATTTCTCATAGTATTATTAATTGATTTTAATCCCATCATATAAAGCCAATTAGCCAACCACCCCCAAGTATCTTTATTGACCAATACTCCAATAAGCCAACCACCCCCAAATAGCTCACTGACCAATAATCCAGTAGCCTGCTGAGAGAAATAATAATGGAAGTGAAGAACAAGACTAAAATTTCATTTGAGAAGACACTGTAATGAATATAATTGATCTGATTTGTATGCAGTAAAATATAATGTTAGATTAATGATTCTGAAACAGCTAAAGTTGTAATTCATCCATGAGAAGAATTAATTATTATCATACAAATTGCATGCCACTCATTAAACCAATTATAAAAAAAATAAAAAAAAAAAATCATTGAACCTTTTACACCCCTTAACAACAGCCCAGGACCCTCACAAAGTCCAAACCAAGTTCAAAACCCAAAAAAAAAAAAAAAACATGAACACACAATCATCATCATCATCATCATCAGCATCCTTATTTCTTACCATACCTCTCAACCCTCTCATCAATCCAAGCCCTCATATCCGCCAGCACAAGATTCGCACTCTCGTCCGGCTCTCCTTGTATCAAAGAATGGTACAACCCTTCGTAAAGCTTCAGAGTCTTATCCTCACTGCTAGCCTTCTCGTACAACAGCTTCGAACCCGACGGGCACGCAAGCCCATCCGAGGTCCCATGGGCCGTGAAGAAGGGAATCGTGACCTTGTCGAAATTGTTCTGCACGTATTCGCACTGCCGCGCGATTTCCCTCATTGTTCCCACTCGGGGCTTGCCCGTGTACCTTCTTGGGTTGCTGGCGATGATTTTGAGCTTCTCGGGGTCCCGGATAGCTTTGCCAACCATCTTGTTGTCGGGCATGGCGGCCCAAGTGTCGGCAAGACCGAATAGGAGCCCGTACACGAATAGGTGTACCTTCAAAAAGAATATGTAGCCACAATTAAGATCAAGATATCACAAGATTTGAAATGACTGGAAATGGGACGATATCAGATAGAACTTTGAAGTTCAGCCTCGTAGCAAATGAGTCTAGATAGACATCCCTAATTTCTTACTTATTCACATTGTTTACATCAAATTGTTGGATGCTTCACATATCTAAGACTCTTAATTAAATTGCATTTTCCTTTTGTTTTTTTTAACTCAATTTTAACTTAATCTTATTATTTTTAATATTATTAATATAATTAAATAATATCAATAAATCATTCTTACAAATCACAATAACTTTAATTTACTATTTATCAATTTATATAATTTTAACTAATCATCACTTATATCACCTACCTTTTACTTTTACATCAAATCAACTTTAATTATTTATTTTAAATATTATTTTAATATAATTCATAATCCTGCTAACAACTAATCATACCACATTTTTCAAAATTAACTATGGTTAACAA